CAAACCAAACAAGCTGAAACTTTATATTTTCTATTTAAATGTTAGATTTTGTCTGAATTTTGTTCATTTGACCCAAAACGTCCAAAGAAACTCACCGTTTAAAGACTTTAAAGACGAGGCGTTCTGCACGATGGACCTTCCTCACATGTTCTAACCCTCATCACAGGTTCTAAACTCATTCATGTTTGAGTCATCTAGTGATCTCTCCTGGGCCGTATGCAAAATGTAAATATGGATCTGTTACAGAGAAGTGAAGACCTCCTCCTCCTCCTCCTTTTAGTTCTTTTAAAATCACGACCGAAACGACAGAAACGACAGAACTAAACGACCCTCGACCTCGTCCTTTTAACTCTTTTCTAATTCTGCTTTAGTCCAAACCAAAGGAAACGGAAGTAAAACCTTAACGTGAAGCTGCTCCACCAGACTGGAGCTGAACACGGCTCAAACACTCAGACACTGAAACACTCAAACAGACACAAAACAGACACTGAAACGACACTACAACGACACAAAAATACTCAAACAAAACTACAACAACACTGAAACATTAAAACAACATGAAACAGACTAAAACAGACACTACAACAACAACTACAACAACACTGAAACACTCAAACAACAGTACAGCAAGACAAAAGCGAAGGCCGTGGTGACGTCCCGCTCCGTCTGAACTCTTCTTTATGTTCAGTCAGAACGATTCTTTTTACGCTCCAGGATGAAGAATGTGCTGGAAAAAAACTGTTTAAACCAAAGAACGAGTCGGATTCACCAAAGATTCAAACTAAATCAAAGTGAATGAGTTGAGGAGCGAGAGCAGACGAGGAGCAGATCTGTTCACTCTGACGTCACAAACAGGAGACGTTTGTAAACCTGCGCTGAAACGTCCTCTGGGTTCTGTTCTCCGTCGTACGTCTGACAGAATGGAGGAAACAGGAGGAACCGTGTCAGTTTTCTTCATGTCGTGTCGTCGTATCGTTCGTTCCGTTTGTTCGACTCATCAACACGTCCAAACAAACCTCAGATTTCATCTTTTCCCAAAATCACAAGAGACAAAAATGAGACAAAGTGAATCAGAAGTGAAGGAAACACAAACGTTCAGATCGTTTCAGATTCACACAAACATTTTAGACTCAGTGAAGAGGGAGGACGACTGTTACTCAAGTAAAAGTACTGTTACTCTGTACTGTATTATTCAAGTAAAAGTACTGTTACTGTACTACTCTGTTACTCAGCAGGAAAACTTACTACTTGAACAATTTGTTCAAATAGTAAATATAGCTCAGTGCTGCCCCCGTCTGGTCATGTTCAACCGACGCTTCAGCTGAAACACCACCCACTGGGTTTTAAATGTTTTTAAACGGTTTTTAAACGATTTTTAAACAGTTTTTAAACGTTTTTTAAACGTTTTTATCAAACACATAAATGTGAAAGTTTCATATTTTTGTCTCCAAAAACAAACACTAAAACAGAACTTTTCATGTTGTATTTTAACACTAAGGGCAGAAAAAGGGTTTAAAATGAGAGAATGTCTCCAGCACCTGTCACCAGCACCTGTCACCAGCACCTGTCACCAGCACCTGTCTCCAGCGCCTGTCGGAGCCTCCAGTCAGAAAACCTCTGTAATATTTAGCACTTTTTCTACTGTTTTGTATCGACAGTGTTTATCATTTCAAAGACTTTTTATAAAGAAACTCATGAAAGTGTCTGACGTCTGTTTCCTACAACTCCCACAATGCACTGCGGGTTTTGGGTCACTATGATTTACTCCTGCTTTAGTAAAATTATTAGCTAAATTATGCTTTTATTAAATTAATTTTGAACTAACTTTCACAGACCCTTGTGTCCTGTGAGGGAGGAACAAGGAGGATCTAAACCACATGGAAACATTTTTACTGACTCTTTAAAAAAAAAAAAAATTGTGGTGGGTTTGGTTTTGAGCATTTTCCTTTTAAATCATTTAATAAATAATAAATAGAGATCAGATTATTTATTTATTTTAATTATTCTATTATTGTTGTCTATTGTTGTATTTATTTTAATGAGTTTATTTTATTTAGTGATCAATAGTAAACATTAGTAAAAGTAAACACGGTAGTAAATACTTTAGCGTAGGAATTTTGGAGAGTGACGTCATGACGTACCGAGACCACGCACGCACAAACGTCAGAGAAGACAAGATGGCGGCCGTGCTGAAGGCGGAAGGTAACGGAGCTTTAGCGGCGGTTCGGAGCTCTCTGTCCCCGCGCTGTCCCGCTCTGTCCCCGCGCTGTCCTCCCCCAAGCCCCGGCTCACCCGCGGTCCCGCCCCCCCGGAGCCCCTCAGCGCCCCGGGGCCGCTGTCCGCGCTCTGCCCCGCTGTGAGGCGCTGTCCGCGGGACAAACCCTCCGCCCCGAGTCCCGTTAGCTGTGGTTAGCTGTGGTTAGCCGGTTAGCCGCGGCCCGGGTCCAAACAAACCCGCACCGAACCCGAACCGAGCCCGAATAAACCCGCACCGGACCCGCAGAGCCCCGGGGCCGCGGCGGGGGCGGGTCTGCGGGGTCCGTGGGTCGTGTCTGTCCCTGGAGCAGCGCGGGGGGCGGCGGAGGCGGAGAGCTCCAGCCGCCACAGGAGCACCGAGAGACGGACACAGGCGCGGGGAGAGTCCGCCGCCTGAGCCCGGCCTCCGGTGGAGCTCAGACTCAAACACTCCACTGTGACACTGCGTTCTCCTGTTGTTCTCCTGTTGTTCTCGTGTTCTCCTGTGTGTTCTCCTGTGTTCTCCTGTTGTTCTCCTGTTGTTCTCCTGTTGTTCTCCTGTGTGTTCTCCTGTTGTTCTCCTGTTGTTCTCCTGTTGTTCTCCTGTTGTTCTCCTGTTGTTCTCCTGTGTGTTCTCCTGTTGTTCTCCTGTGTGTTCTCCTGTTGTTCTCCTGTGTGTTCTCCTGTTGTTCTCTTGTGTGTTCTCCTGTTGTTCTCCTGTGTGTTCTCCTGTTGTTCTCCTGTGTGTTCTCCTGTTGTTCTCCTGTTGTTCTCCTGTGTGTTCTCCTGTGTAGTCTCCTGTTGTTCTCCTGCTGTTCTCCTGTTGTTCTCCTGTTGTTCTCCTGCTGTTCTCCTGTTGTTCTCCTGTGTGTTCTCCTGTTGTTCTCGTGTGTGTTCTCCTGCTGTTCTCCTGTGTGTTGTTCTGTGTGTTCTTCTTCGTGAGGAGCTTTAGTGAGCAGAACATCTGACAGGTCCCACACTAATGGACTTTAGAGATCTCTACACACACTTAGTGTTCTAACGCTGTTCCCCTCTAGAACACACCTGGTGTTCTAACGCTGTTCCCCTCTAGAACACACCTGGTGTTCTAACGCTGTTCCCCTCTAGAACACACCTGGTGTTCTAACGCTGTTCCCCTCTAGAACACACCTGGTGTTCTAACGCTGTTCCCTCTAGAACACACCTGGTGTTCTGAACGCTGTTCCCTCTAGAACACACCTGCTGTTCTAGCTGTTCCCCTCTAGAACACACCTGGTGTTCTGACGCTGTTCCCCTCTAGAACACACCTGGTGTTCTAACGCTGTTCCCCTCTACAACACACCTGGTGTTCTAACGCTGTTCCCCTCTACAACACACCTGGTGTTCTAACGCTGTTCCTCTCTAGAACACACCTGGTGTTCTAACGCTGTTCCCCTCTAGAACACACCTGGTGTTCTAACGCTGTTCCCCTCTAGAACACACCTGCTGTTCTGACGCTGTTCCCCTCTAGAACACACCTGCTGTTCTGACGCTGTTCCCCTCTACAACACACCTGGTGTTCTAACGCTGTTCCTCTCTAGAACACACCTGGTGTTCTAACGCTGTTCCCCTCTAGAACACACCTGGTGTTCTAACGCTGTTCCCCTCTAGAACACACCTGGTGTTCTAACGCTGTTCCCCTCTAGAACACACCTGGTGTTCTGACGCTGTTCCCCTCTACAACACACCTGGTGTTCTAACGCTGTTCCCCTCTAGAACACACCTGGTGTTCTAACGCTGTTCCCCTCTAGAACACACCTGGTGTTCTAACGCTGTTCCCCTCTAGAACACACCTGGTGTTCTAACGCTGTTCCCCTCTAGAACACACCTGCAGATGGGTTTATTCTGAGTCTGTTTCATCTCCAAAGCTCCAAACGCTCTGTTCCACCTTGTGATGTCATGAAGTTCTCTGTTCCGTTTCTCTTTAGTTCAGTCGAGATCAAAACTCCACAACTGGAATGATCCAGGTGATTCTAGTGAAGGTGTGTGGAGTTTAAAAACACAGTGGAGCACTTCCTGTATCACCACATGATGACATCACAAGGTGGAACAGAGTGTTTTCAGTTTGAGAGAAGAATTTGTGTAAATCTTCAGGGTTTGTGAGTTAAACACATGAATGAAACAAAACACAACTCCAGCTCTGTGTGTGAGCAGGAACCACAGCAGAACAGTAGAACATTAGAACATGAGAACAGAGGTCAGAGTAAAGTTTAATGTGGGACATTTCAAGTCATATTTGTGTGTGTGAGGTGCAGAGTGACAGAGGGAGTTTAGTCGTGTTTTTCTGAAGCTGCTCTGTCGTCTGAACGTTTCTCTGCCTCAAAACTGTTTAAAATCAAACGACTGAAAACTCGACGAGCTCAAACTCTCAACCCAGAGTAAACTCTTACATAGAGCTCGACCGATATGGATTTAGTTGTGGTCAATATGATGTCGATAAAACATGAGTTGGAGCTGTCGATATAATCGTCGATATATTTAGTGATGTAAAAATTCACTGTAAATGTTGAATTGTTTAAAAAACTTTAGTTTGTCTCTGGTGGATTTTAAATTGTTTATTTAAGAAACATTTATTCTTCTGACTCTTTATGTCATATTTACAGACAGAATGAATAATGACATTTATACATCATGTTCTAGTAAAGAAAGTAAACTAGAGCTTTTAGTCTTTAGTCGTAAATGCTGCACCACGGTGATTAAACATATGTGTAAATGTCGATCATTCACACTTCTGTTCACAGCTCATTTACATCAGTGCAGCTCCAGGAACAAATATACAAACAATATAATCACTTTATAACAGACTGTTTATGTGACACACAACAGATCAACAATAAACAATGAGAAAAAAACTAAACACATCACAAGTAACACACACACACAGGCTCCTCCCACATCACAAGTCTGCACTAGTAACACACACACACACAGGCTCCTCCCACATCACAAGTCTGCACTAATAACACACACACACAGGCTCCTCCCACATCACAAGTCTGCACTAATAACACACACACACACACAGGCTCCTCCCACATCACAAGTCTGCACTAATAACACACACACACAGGCTCCTCCCACATCACAAGTCTGCACTAGTAAATGTCCTTTTAATCCAGACTCAAACCGATCGTCCGTAAAAAGAATATAATGTGAGTGTTTGGATCTGTGTGTGTGAGTGTAAACAAACACACGTGTGTGACGTGACTCTGTGTGTGTTCAGGGACATTATGAACACACACACACACACTCCACAGATAAACACTGATGTAGAGTCACATATGAGGACATTTCTGTGTAAACTGGATTAAATCAACAGAATGTAGAGTCTGAGATTTATAACAACGTAGAACCGGCCCACAGGAAATATCCACATGTGTGTGTCACATCTTCTGCTGTTGTGTGTTTCAGTTGTATATTGTGTGTTTCAGTTGTGTGTGTGTTGTGTGTTTCAGATGCAGTGGATCAGGTCGTGTGGAGTTTTTGGGGCGAGAGCTTCAGTCACTGAAACATGAACGTCAACATGAGCCACAGGAAGGACATGGTCTGTCCTGACAGCGGTAAGTCCCTCTGACCTCTGACCCCCTGAACCCTCTGACTCCCTGACCCGTGTGTGTATGTTCAGATAGAGTTTGTGTTGAGTTGTTGTGTTTGTGTGTGTAAACTGGAGCACACACAAACACACACACACAGACACACACACACACAGGTGGGGGGAGCAGGGCCGCTGGACGCCGCTTGCGGCTCTAACTCTGTGTTTGTTTTTTTCAGAAAATAAAAATCAGAGAAAAGTTTTTGTGCCGAACAAACTCCTGGAGTGTCTCCCCCGCTCGGCCTGTCTGCCCCCGGAGCGCCTGCGCTGGAACACCAACGAGGTACTCCCTGCTCTCTCTACTCTCTACTACACCAACCAGGTACTCAGGTACTTTATAAACAATACCAAGCTGAAGCTGAACACCTGTACAGAGGACACGCCCCTCACACCTGTACAGAGGACATGCCCCTCACACACCTGTACAGAGGACACGCCCCTCACACACCTGTACAGAGGACACGCCCCTCACACACCTGTACAGAGGACACGCCCCTCACACACCTGTACAGAGGACACGCCCCTCACACACCTGTACAGAGGACACGCCCCTCACACACCTGTACAGAGGACACGCCCCTCACACCTGTACAGAGGACACGCCCCTCACACACCTGTACAGAGGACACGCCCCTCACACACCTGTACAGAGGACACGCCCCTCACACACTGTACAGAGGACACGCCCCTCACACACCTGTACAGAGGACACGCCCCTCACACACACCTGTACAGAGGACACGCCCTCACACCTGTACAGAGGACACACCCTGTACAGAGACACACTGTACACACGCCCCTCACACACCTGTACAGAGGACACGCCCCTCACACACCTGTACAGAGGACACGCCCCTCACACCTGTACAGAGGACACGCCCCTCACACACCTGTACAGAGGACACGCCCCTCACACACCTGTACAGAGGACACGCCCCTCACACACCTGTACAGAGGACACGCCCCTCACACACCTGTACAGAGGACACGCCCTCACACACCTGTACAGAGGACACGCCCCTCACACACCTGTACAGAGGACACGCCCCTCACACACCTGTACAGAGGACACGCCCCTCACACACCTGTACAGAGGACACTGTCCCTCACGTTGGTCTTTTGTCTTTTGTCTCTGTGTAGGAGATCGCTTCGTTCCTCATTTCCTTCGATCGTCATGATGAGTGGCTCTGCTGTTCCCTCAAAACCAGGTCTGATCCTCTCAGCTCTCACCCGTGTCCCCCCATGTTCCCCCCCTGTTCCGCTCTGGTTCTGTTCTGGTTTTGTTTTGGACCAGACTCTCTGCCCCTGATCAAAATCTGAACATTAAGAACAGACCAATCAGATGCCTTCTTTCACCGAGGCCCCTCCCACTAGCCTTAGCAACAGGTTTGATTGACAGCAGCGCTAAGGGCTCCACTTTAGAACATCTGTGGTTCTAACGGCGTGTTCTGTGTGGTTCTAACGGCATGTTCTTTGTTCCGTGTCTGTGGTTCTAACAGCGTGTTCTTTGTTCCGTGTCTGTGGTTCTAACGGCGTGTGTTCTTTGTTCCGTGTCTGTGGTTCTAACGGCGTGTTCTTTGTTCCGTGTCTGTGGTTCTAACGGTGTGTTCTTTGTTCCGTGTCTGTGGTTCTAACGGCGTGTTCTTTGTTCCGTGTCTGTGGTTCTAACGGCGTGTTCTTTGTTCCGTGTCTGTGGTTCTAACGGCGTGTTCTTTGTTCCGTGTCTGTGGTTCTAACGGTGTGTTCTTTGTTCTAACGTGTCTGTGGTTCTAACGGCGTGTTCTTTGTTCCGTGTCTGTGGTTCTAACGGCGTGTTCTTTGTTCCGTGTTCTCCGTCCCAGGCCCAAAAACGGAAGCATCATCCTGTACAACAGAAAGAAAGTCAAATATCGAAAAGACGGATACTCCTGGAAGAAACGGAAAGACGGAAAAACCACGAGAGAAGATCACATGAAGCTGAAGGTCCAGGGGATGGAGGTAAAACACAGAGACAGAAGACAGAAAGAGACAGAGGGAGACAGAGGACAGAGGGAGAGAGACAGAGAGGACAGAGGGAGACAGAGGGAGACAGACAGAGACAGAGGGAGACAGAGGGAGACAGAGACAGAGGGAGGACAGAGGGAGACAGACAGAGGGAGACAGAGAGACAGAGACAGAGGGAGACAGACAGAGACAGAGGGAGACAGAGGGAGACAGAGGGAGACAGACAGAGACAGAGAGGGAGGACAGAGGGAGACAGAGGGAGGAGACAGAGGGAGACAGACAGAGACAGAGGGAGACAGAGACAGAGGGAGACAGACAGAGACAGAGGGAGGACAGAGGGAGACAGAGGGAGACAGAGGGAGACAGACAGAGACAGAGAGACAGAGAGACAGAGAGACAGAGGAGACAGACAGAGACAGAGGAGACAGAGGGAGACAGAGGGACAGAGGACAGAGGACAGACAGAGACAGAGGGAGACAGAGGACAGAGGGAGGACAGACAGAGACAGAGGACAGAAAGAGACAGAGGGAGACAGAGACAGAGGGAGACAGAGGGAGACAGAGGACAGAGGGAGGAGAATAAACCTGTGTCTTTGTTTTCCTGTTGCCAAATGAATAACCACTGTTCATCTCTCTGTTTCTTTTCTTTCTCTCCCTCCGTTTGTTGTTTGTTGTTGTTGTTTGTTTGTTTGTTGTTTGTTTGTTTGTTGTTTGTTTGTTGTTTGTTTGTTGTTTGTTGTTTGTTGTTGTTTGTTGTTGTTGTTTGTTGTTGTTTGTTGTTTGTTTGTTGTTTGTTTGTTTGTTGTTTGTTGTTGTTGTTTGTTTGTTGTTTTGTTTGTTGTTTGTTTGTTGTTTGTTTGTTGTTTGTTGTTTGTTGTTTGTTGTGTTTGTTTGTTTGTTGTTGTTTGTTTGTTTGTTTGTTTGTTGTTTTTGTTTGTTTGTTGTTTGTTTGTTTGTTGTGTTGTGTTTGTTTGTTTGTTGTTGTTTGTTTGCAGTGTGTCTTTACGGGTGTTACGTTCATTCCTCCATCATCCCCACATTCCACAGACGCTGCTACTGGCTCCTGCAGGTACTTTTACTCCAGTACTTTTACTTCAGTACTCTTACTGTAGTACTTCTAACGTAGTACTTTTACTGTTAATATAGTACTTCTACTGTAGTACTGTGTGGTATTTTTACTGTAGTACTGTGTCACATTTTTCTACAGCACTTTTCCACCTTCAAGGCTCAAAGCTCTTTACAACAAGGAACCACACACACACACACACACACACACACACACACACACACACACACACACACACACACACTCACACACACATTCACACACACACACACACACACACACACACACACACATTCACACACACACACACACACACACACACATTCACACACACATTCACACACACACACACACACACACACACACACACACATTCACACACACACATTCACACACACACATTCACACACACACACACACACATTCACACACACATTCACACACACACACACACACATTCACACACACATTCACACACACATTCACACACACACACACACACACATTCACACACACACACACACACACACATTCACACACACACACACACATTCACACACACATTCACACACACACACACACACACACACACACACACACACACACACACACACACATTCACACACACACACACACACACACACTTCACACACACACACATTCACACACACACATTCACACACACATTCACACACACACATTCACACACACACACACACACACACATTCACACACACATTCACACACACACACACACATTCACACACACACACACACACACATTCACACACACACATTCACACACACATTCACACACACATTCACACACACACACACACATTCACACACACACACACACATTCACACACACACACACATTCACACACACACATTCACACACACACACATTCACACACACATTCACACACACACACACACACATTCACACACATTCACACACACACACACACATTCACACACACATTCACACACACACATTCACACACACATTCACACACACACATTCACACACACACACATTCACACACACACATTCACACACATTCACACACACACACACACACACACACACACACATTCACACAT